ATGGTCGGCCAGGGCTGGGGTTTGGCCTATACATCTGGGCCATGGCCAATCTGGGGTGTGGCCAAGACATCTCGGCCGTGGCCAATCTGGGGTGTGCCCAAGACATCTCGGCCGTGGCCAATCTGGGGTGTGGCCGAGACATCTCGGCCGTGGCCCGACCATGGGGTGTGGCAGAGACATCTCGACCGTGTTGTTGTTGGTTGACAACTCCATACATAGCAAGACTCGACAGGACAACAATATAACCACGCATTAGAAGAGGAAGAAAGAGAAAGAGTAGTAGGTATAAGATGGAGAGCGGGAAGGGGAGAGGGAAAGAGCAGAGACGCAAGATAAACGAAATCGAATGTTTCTCCCGAACACGATTGACTCGTAAATAATCCTTGAAAGTGCCGAGTCACGTCAAAACCGTGGCATGATCCTACCGGTTTCGGCTGGCGCCACCCAGCCTTCGTCAGGGACCTGTCGGTTGTCGGTGAAAAAACAGACACCGCGATCCTATTTATCTTGCTTTAGTAGAGGTTCATGAAACCGCCATACCACGAAATTTACGCAACCCATTACTTCGAGAGAATTCTCACTACCCGAAACAGTTCAGTAGGACCCTTACTAGTCAACACGTTAGTCCAGAAACAATCCTCTGACATTTTTACCACACCGCCTACTACCGACTGAATACAATTGTCAAACCCGCGCTATTCGGAGAATGTCAAAACTGAGTTCACCGTTCGAAACTACCCAGGTTACAAACACGAGGCGAAACAACACCAAGTCTCCGTACCTCCCAGACTTCAAAAAAACATCAATCCACGTAACCCTCCTTTATCTGTACCAGACCCAACCAGTCCCACCACAACTGTTACGACCCAAAAAAATATACTACCCAAATCAAAGGACCCTACCACCGGGCCGGTATTTTCTCAGCATTTCCCACCGACAATCCTTTCCCATATTCCCTCAGCATTTCTCACCGACCCAAGAAAAAGTGCTACCCAAGTCAAAGGACCCTACCACCGGGCCCATATTCCCTCATTATTTCCCACCGACAATCCTTCCCCATCCGGTCAAGATGGGTAACCAGTGATCCCAGATTCCAGCAAACTTCTTAGAGAAGCTAGTCAAGGCATTATCAAAAAAGTAATCAGGGTACTTTCGACGCCACAATTCAATCTTCAGGGTAAACAGAAACGGAAGTTCAGTACTAGACACCGAAGAGAAAGCCTTTGCCCGGTGTAGAAAGGAACTAATGACGACCATCTTTTGCTGCTTGCTAGCGTAAGAAGCGAAGTCCTGTATACTTTGGAAGGCTAGCTTCTCCTCTCTCCAGACCCTCTGATTTTTGTGCATCGGTATACACACAATTCCGGTCTGTCCCTCGAACACCTTCAGCACACATTTTAGGAAATCCCATGATTGACCATCATTCGTCTGTTTCAAAGACAGATTACTGTCATAGCACCCAGAAAACTATTGAATCATTTCTTTCGCATAATCAACCGAACCAACCACCTTTCTGTCACAAGTAACAAAAACCGAAAGATCGTCCATCAGCCCGAATCCATGAATTAAAGAACGGGAGACGTGCAGGGAGGATAGGAAGGAGAACTCATTGTAGGCACATAGGAGACAGGCCAGAGCTGGACTGGAGGATTTCCCCATCGGTATCCCAACCGTCTGTCGCAGGAGTGTAGTACCAGCAATAATAAACATATTCTCCAATTCAAAAGAAACAAACTGGATGATCTGCTCAAACGAGACACGTGCCCATCCTTCTTCCAGTCGTCCTTTGATCAGTTTGACGTCCTTACCCCTTGTTCGTACTGCCACAGCCACAAAGTCATTACTCATCCAATAATCAATGATCCAATGTAGCGCCTGAAGAATAGAAAGACGAGGCAAATTGGAGAACATTTCCTTCACGTCAAAAGAGGCACCTACCAAAAACTCACTTTTTTTCAAACCCTTATTGATCCTCTTGATTTCATCTATGAGATCGGAAGTCGTCCGAAGATCAAAATTTGAACCCACCTGCATCTTCCACAGCAAATGGTTAACCACACGTGATATCACTTGTCCCCCAACAGCAGAGCATTCAGAGTAAGAAGGACAAATAGGAAGCCATTTGTTTACATCCTTATGCTTTGGAAGGCAATACGCCCTACCAAACTGCCCACTGTCTTTCCACCTACTGACTTGCTGTAGGTTCAACTGGAAGTACTTCTCCTTACAACTCTTCAGGACTACTTCTTCACTATCACTGCAAATGGCAAAGGAGGGATTCTTCAAGAACAGGGTGTCCATGCCATCCCCGTAGATTACAGGGCAACAAACAAAGGTATCCCCCATGTTGTGATCCAAGGGAGAGCGCACGAGGCCTTGCAGCCGGTCACAATATTCAGTAATTTCGCCAACAGTAGTAGATACAGAATGTTCAGAAGCAAAGTCAACAGGTCGAGCATTGAAACAGTTTGAGAGCATCTGATCGGAGAAGAAGTTACACGGCAGAGAAAGATTAGAACAAGAGGAGGAGAGACTGCCGAAGGCTCCCGGAAGTTGCTTCCTGAGATAAGAAATAGACTGACGAGGAGGTTCCAGAATATTCCTTGAATTATTCATCACATCCGGAAAGAAATTCGTAGAGTTGAGACGAAAGGCTACGTGACCACCAGGGCGAGGAAAGGAGCAATCGACCTCTGCACAACAACATTTAACACATTCTACTTGTGCCGCCCTCCGGTAGTTATAAATAACATCGCCTACCGTTTTGTTCCTGCACCAGACGACACGCATTCGACGGACTAATAAATTCTGCCAGGCAGGTGAAATGTCTAAACTCTTCACTCCTTGAACACAGATTCTCCTGATCGCTGTTTTACACAGCAGTTTGTCATACACCACCCGAATTACCAGACGCTGACGCAACTGCACATTGAATCTTGCCCTGCCACTACGTGACAAAATACTCCTAAGCCTAGCTCTAGTGCGTTTCTCAGAAAAACCACGAATCGCCAAATAGCCGAAGATCAGCTGATCAAGATCCCAAGTAAACAGATTCCGACGAGTGCTGGGATTACTAAGGAGAAGAGACAGTGGTACTTTTAGTTCCAAGGACTTACTCATAAACAAGGAGATTGAATGAAAAGTAATAACAACACCACCTCGCAACCACCCTCGATTCTGTCGAAGTTGTCCGAACCCAAACTCACATGAAATAACCGAAGCACCAAAGCATCTTCGCACCACTTTCCAAGACTCAGAAAGCGATTCACCCCCACGACATACCACAACACAACGCTGCAGCCCTTTCTCATAACAATCACTCAACACACTTCTCAGATTAGAAGAGATCACACCTGTACCGGCATGAAACACGACCAACGATCTGTCACCACTCTTCTCGATGTCATCACAGCGACGACTTCTCTTTTTATCTCTCAACCGCTCCCTCAGACCCTTACGTCGCCGCTTTGACCTACGAGGCTTGTACCTCACATTTAGAGAGGACAGAAAATTCCGAATAAAAAACTTCTCACAGGTCACCAAATCTTCCATGGTACATGCACAAACCGGAATGGCAACGTAGTTATGGACTTCGTACCTACGCAACCAACGATACAACTTTTCGTTACAACAACCTTTAGAGATTACAGCCTGATTACTAGCACGAAAGACATGTTCGTTCCAACGGGTAAATAAATCCCGGCCAGTGCACCCAACATAGATATGTCTGCACCATGGTGACAAAAGCACATACACCACTGGACCACTACAGCGGTCAAAGTCAAAGCCATTAGAAAGCAACCGACAGACAAAGTCACGAGTCTTGTGAGCCCAAGGGATTTGATCGGCTAAGATGAGAGACAAGAGGATTAGGCAAAAGAGGCTATTCAACGCTCGACATTGCAGCAAATGGGGAATAGATTGACGAAGATTACCACAGAAATTTGCAAGTTGCCAAAGGTAAGCCGTGTTCGGGATAGATCCTAAGAAGTCAGATCCTGTCTGCCGGCATTACCGAGGTCAGCACTCCCACCAGCAGAATCATCAGACAATTCCTGCACGCCGCCGTCCGCCACTTGTTTGCCGAAGGCCAGCGCAACCCTTTTACTTATAATATCCTCCTTGGCTCGATCCAACGTAGTGTAAGTAACCCCTTCTTTGGTACACAAAATCCTCACTTCATCCATCTTCAATGGTCTCAGTATCCGCCGATTATCCGCAATGAACGTGTCACGTTGGCTCATCTGCACTTCCACAGGCTTCTTCCCTTTTGCCGGTTGGCTGCCAGATGCTTTGGCAGCTTCATCCATCCGTGCTCGCAGGTTGGTGCCAGGAGCACGCTGCTTCTCCATCTCCAATCTTGCCATTTCCTCCTTCAGTCTATCCACCTCCTGCTCCGCCTCTCTTCGCCCGTTGAGGTCTTTCGCCCGCAGTTCCTTGAGAGTGGCTACCTCGCGAGCGTGGCAAACCGACATACTAGGCGACTTTGCAGGTGTACAGTGAGGACGAACCCTTTCCTGAGTCGAAGGTGTGGCACCCACCACTACAGGGCCTCGCTTATTACCCGGACGTAATGCTTCAAGTCGCCATGACTCAGCATGCGCCATCGCTTCGTCTCTCTCGTTCTTCAATCGCCGGATTTCATCTTCCATTCGAGACATTCTTTGTTCAGTCTCCTCCTGCATCCTCCGGTGAGCTTCCTCCTGATCGCGAACCCTTCTAACCGATCGTTCCGGAGTAGCCACACTTACGTTCGCCGTTATCCCCTGAGTAAACTGTAATCGACGTAAGTTCTCCACCTCGTTCTTCAATTTTTCCACCTCTCCATCCTGGTCTTTCGCCTTCTTTCCTAGCAGTGCTTCACACAAGTTGTCTATACGAGCATTCATGGCGTCGCCAATTTCTTTCTGAAATTCTTCCCGCTCCCTCTTCGCTTGTAGTCTTCTTTGTTCTTCTTCTTTTTCTTTTGCAGCCCGTTCCGCTGCCTCCTTCTGTTGCCGTTCTTTGGCTTCTTCAGCGTCATGGCGAACCTTGATTCTTGACACCTGTTCCTCTAAAGTATTCAACCTACGATTCGTCTGATTCCACCCACCACCTCCATTGTAGCCGCCATACCCGTGATTGCTACTAGAATTGTTACTATTGTAACCCGATGTTGGGGCAGGGATAGTAGAACTGGGACCAGGTAGACTAAGAAGAGGAGTCTGGACCGGAATGATAGCAGTATTTGGATTGGAAGGAACAGCATTACGAGGAGGATGAGGGCAGAACCGGGCAAAGTGACCCAGTTCACCACAGTTATAACAAGTTCGGATGATGTTGGAGGCCATACTGCAAAACGTTGAACGACAAGCTATGCAGACACGTATGGAACCAGAGCCACACAGTCGTAGTGCAATTCCTACACCGGTTACTCCGTATAAACAAGTTGTTGGTTGACAACTCCGTACATGGCAAGACTCAACAGGACAACAATATAACCACGCATTAGAAGAGGAAGAAAGAGAAAGAGTAGTAGGTGTAAGATGGAGAGCGGGAAGGTGAGAGGGAAAGAGCAGAGACGCAAGATAAACGAAATCGAATGATTCTCCCGAACACGACTGACTCGTAAATAATCCTTGAAAGCGCCGAGTCTCGTCAAAACCGAGGCATGATCCTACCGGTTTCGGCTGGCGCCACCCAGCCTTCGTCAGGGACCTGTCGGTTGTTGGTGAAAAACCAGACACCGCGATCCTATTTATCTTGCTTTAGTAGAGGTTCATGAAACCGCCATACCACAAAAACTAAGCAACCCATTACTTCGAGAGAATTCTCACTACCCGAAACAGTTCAGCAGGACCCTTACTAGTCAACACGTTAGTCCAGAAACAATCCTCTGACATTTTTACCACACCGCCTACTACCGACTGAATACAATCGTCAAACCCGTGCTATTCGGAGAACGTCAAAACTGAGTTCACCGTTCGAAACTACCCAGGTTACAAACATGAGGCGAAAAAACACCAAGTCTCCGTACGTCCCAGACTTCAAAAAAAACATCAACCCACGTAATCCTCCTTGATCTGTACCAGACCCAACCAGTCCGGCCACAGCTGTTACGACCCAAAAAAATATACTACCCAAATCAAAGGACCCTACCACCGGGCCGGTATTTTCTCAGCATTTCCCACCGACAATCCTTTCCCATATTCCCTCAGCATTTCTCACCGACCCAAGAAAAAGTGCTACCCAAGTCAAAGGACCCTACCACCGGGCCCATATTCCCTCATTATTTCCCACCGACAATCCTTCCCCATC